TAAAAATTGACATTTATTGTGGGGGGAGGGAGAGAATGGGCATTTATTGAAACCTTAAAATCTGTACCCCTATAATATGCTGAAATAAAAAAATAAAAAATAAATAAATAAATAAAAATGGACATATATTATAGTAAAAGTGACAAAAAATGACTTCTCCATTTTTTTTTGTCACAGGAAAAGGTAAGGTACAGCATATAGATTGAAAGTAAGAAATTTCATAGAATACATTATTACCAGTCTATCTTTCTATATAATTTGCTCATTCATCAAATATGTATTGAGCATCTATTAGGTACAGGAATGTATGTTAACAAAGATTAATCAAAGACAAAATTTCTTTTCAAATAATATACAAAGTGGTAAACAAATAAAACATAGACACATAACAATGAAGCACTAGAAAAACTGACAAATGCCTTCTTCTCTAAATAAGGTGTCATAATCCCTTAAAAAATGAAATATTATTCTCAGTATGCCATTTAAGAACATTTGATATGGGGTGAAGGCTAGTATAGTAGTAAAGGGACATCTCAGGAAAAATGTCAAAGACATAATGATCTGCTTATGTTTCTTTAAACCAGGAAGCTTTAAGTTATTTCAGTGTTTGTGAAAGAGGAAATCATCAGTATTCAAATTTTATAAATATAAATATTGATTTTTTTACATAATAACAAAGAATGTGAGATATTATGTTGTATGAGGTAATACATTTTTTATTAGTTCATATAACTAGATAAATAGTCAGAAGCAACGTAATCACAGTGAGCTTATAGGTAATAGACAACATCAGATAGTTAAGACTTTTTTTTAACTTTTAAGTTTAAAAAGTAGCTTCAACAAACTCCAACAAATTTATATATAATTGTCAATATATTACATGGGACTGTGCAGATAACCAAGTAAAATTTAAAATGGCAGTCTCTGAGTACTCCCTTGTCAGTGCTTCAATGCACCATAAATTGAAATATCTCAATGCCATAGTACGTGCTCATAATACATTCCAATTCTTCACAGGCAGGCCAGGGGGAAGCTAACTGCCAGAGAAGTCTTCTTTGTTTAGCAAAAATACACATGGACTACTGGTTGCCGTAATTTATGAAAAAAAAAAAAAAAGTATGGGTGCTGTATAAAATACTTTTCTGAATTGTTAAAAGTTTTGATCACTTCATACTCCATTGCCATAGTTTAACTCTTATGTCATAACTGAGATGGTTAAATGACTTCAACAGACTCTTTAAAGAGGTTTAAATGGTTCAAGGTCAAGTGCAAGAGAGAACAGCTCATTAATGACAGTCAGGTTTGGCCCCTCCCCTTACTTTGGTCCGTGACTGTTATGATTGGTCAGTGTTTGTGTTGGACCAGGTGGTCAATATTTTCACTATCATCATTGGTGCCAACTTAACCCCCCTACATCTTTTAGACTTTTTCTATGTATACTTATTTACCTCCTATTTGCACGTTTAATAGTAGCTATAAATATTAAAACTTGGCTTAAATTCTAATTTCCAATAGCAAAAATTCACACAGTTGACTCTTCAACAACATTGGGGTTAGGGGCACAGACAACCACAAAGTTAAAACCCTGTCTATAAGTTTTGGCTCCCCCAAAACTTAACTACTAATAACTTACTGTGGATTGCAAGCCTTAGAGGTAACGAAAACAGTCGATTGACACGTATTTTGCATGCTGTATGTATTGTACACTGTATTCTTACGATAAAGTAAGCTAGAGTAAAGAAAATGTTATTAAGAAAGTCATAAGGAAGAGAAAAAATATTTACTATTAGCGGAAGTGGATCATCATAAAAGTCTTCATCCTTATTGTCTTCATGTTGAGTAGTAGGAGGGGTTGGTCTTGCTGTCTCCGGGTGGCAGAGGTGAAAGAAAATCCGTATATAAGTGGATCTGCACAGTTCAACCCTTGTTGTTCAAGAGTCAACTGCATAATATATATGTGCATATTGTATATATTTATATATTATATGTTTATATATTATACATATATAATTCTCTATTTGTTACATATATTGATCCTCTGCCATGTAACCTTCTCTGTAGCCTTATGCTCATGTGAATGGAGCAGTCACATTTTTAGAATTTCTTCCCAGTGAGGGTAATTGAATGAAAATAATTATTAGGTTCTTTAATCCTAATGATGTCAGCAATGCAGGTAGGATTTCTGGTTAGTTTACTATAAATGCAAACTCTTAAGATCACTTGTGTCATGCTCTGACCTAATCAGATGGGATACCTGCCTTCCCTTAAGGAGTTTATATATTGTGATTAAATAGAAAAGCATATGCCTGAGGGAAAATTTGCCGGCCTACTAACCTATATTTGAGACTCATCTTCATTGATGAGCTTAAAAATCTCTTGGTAGCCAACAATAATCAGCATTTTTTCCCAAATGTTCTAACAAGTCAGCTTCCAGACATCTGTTTGATGCTGCCTGGCCACGTGCTGCACCACTCCTCACAGGCCACTGTTACACACTGGTCTATGATGCTGCCACTCCCTGGCCCTGCCTTCCTGTTAATACAACAAAAATGGAGATTGTCAGCGTGGGCAGGTTGCCATATGGAGGTTGACAGCTGCTCAATCAGATTAAGACAAATGCACATAGGCAATGTGAGTACAAAAAAAAAAAAAATCATTTCAGAAGAAAACTTTGTTGTTTTGCTCTTGGTGTTTTTCCCCAGGATTTTTAGAAATAGAGCACCGGTTTTAAAGACTGTTGTATAAGTGAATAAGCTTGAATTAGTATTGACATGAAGCAAACCAAGAAAAAGTAGTTAAAATAACCTTTTTACAATTTTGCGTTTTGAACATTGATCCTCTTTGCCTCTGGCCATACTGTTTAATTTAAAAAGATTGCTTCTCCCCTCACCCTACCCCATGCATAGATACCTCTGCTAGGTATCTTACAAAATAATAAGGACCCTTACTGTCTAAAAAGGAAAATAATACTGAAAAACTTGTAAAAATATGTTTTAAAAGAGTGCGCAACATGCCAAGAGAAAAATAACAGGATTTTACAACCCAGTGAAAGATAACATAGCACTATCAATAGCCAAGCTCATGAATAAATAAATATTTACAACATATACATATGCATATCAAGGCAAGGCTACATCTCAAGAACTCAGAATCTGTGCAAAATATTTATGCAGTGCATATAAAGCGACAAACGGAGGAACTAAAAGGGAAATAATTTTAAAGGACAGTCAACATGCTTAAAGTTTTCCAGTAACTCGCCTGACCTTTCCAAAATACACAAGACTCTTTGTAACAATATAAAAATATGTTGCTATGATTGCCTATGCCTGAACTTAACATGCAACAGAGCTAGCAAATTTCTAGCTGAGCTAGTTAAAGTACATTGGAAAAGTAGTCATATGTTCAAAAATGAAACCTTTCTGACCTGGTTTATAAATGAAATCCAATGCATCTGTATTAAAGCAGGGTGGAATGAATAAATGTCTAGGAACACATGCAAGCATTTTGACATAAACCTTTCTGAATAGGTTAACAACTTTCCTAAAATCCTGCAGCTGTTTTTTGCTGGCCATTTAGAGCTTCAAAGTCCATGGCTAAATTTAAAATAGGAAATTAAACTTTGACATACTATAAGCATGGTCTTTGAAAAATGTACATAAGAAGTAAAAGTTAACACTCCTGGCATCCTCTAGAGTCCATAACACCATACATCTCTACATCCTAAGCCACCCAAAGCTGCCCATGCAGGCTAACATAAATAACAGCTTTCAATTTGCAGGGGAAAAAATACATTGATAACACTAGGAAATATAGTAATGTGGTGATATAATTTACAAGGCCTAACAATAATTTGCAGCACCACTCCTCTGGGTAGATCTGCACCAATCATCTAATCTAAGTGCCTGTTGGAACTTTTCCCTCAAAGGTATAGTAGGTAGAAGATTTGTAATGCCTTTAATGCAACAAAAGGAGAAACAGAAAGATCAAACTAAAGGGGCTTGAGTATTTAGAAAACCCTGCTGAGCTGTTGTAATAAATTATTAAAACTTCTTGTTAATGTTCATGCTTCTCTTTAACCTCTGATCATAACATTTAAAGTACAGACAAAAGGAGGGGGAGAACCAGAAAATATTTCTAGAGCTAAGTTACCAACATTAAGTAGAAAGAATGCTTCTGCATAGCAAAATCCCCAGATATCTCCCATCAAGATTTTTCCCCAAACATACAAACACTGTCCAGAAAGTCTCTCATGGGATATTTTGCAGCATAATTTTTTTTTGGTTTACAGCATTCATAGCAAACATACCTGATAACTTGTGTTTAATATAAACAAATGCCATTCAGGGGATGCAGAACCAACTGAACTTTACAAAAAAATTGATTCAAAGTCTCAAAAATTCTCTCCCACCCCATAAGAATTTTTTGACAGCAGAAGAAAATGGATTACAACAGTCCAAAGTACTCAGTACTCAGGCTTTTTTTCTCATTCAGTAGATTTTTTTTTCAATAAAGTTAATGCAATTTATCTTTATTAACACATCAACACTGATAGAGTCAGCCAGAAAATTAGTGTTGGTGGCTCTGTGTTTTATAACATTCCTTTCTCAGACATCTCTCTGATTATTTCACAAAATCTGCCAACAGTTCAGGGATCTAACATATTCAGAACCCATTTCTTTTTAAAATAATGCAGCTTCCTAAGGATAACACACATATCCTTGCACCAGAGCAGCATGCATCTGGTCCTATAGTCTCCCTGCTAGAAGCAATCATTGTAATGCTTTCAAAGCCCAGAAAACCAAAAATTGCAAAAATATATTTACATCAATAAAAGAGGAAAACTCTTCTTTCTAGCTACCTTACAACACAGCTCCTCTTTCCTGAAATAAAACCTGATTTCAAAGCGAAGCAGCTCCTCTACCCTCAGCTGTCCTCAAGTTAGCATCAGCTCGCCTTGCTAACTCCATTTAGATCTTTAACACACAACTTTCATCACTTACCCCCCTTCCAGGGTTTTCCTTTCCAGGGGGTCCGGGTCAGCTTGCTCAAAGTTGGTCCAGAGAAGAAAAGCATCAAAACGAAGAGAAGTTCAAGCCTAGTAATTTTCCCCACTTTCTCTGATGGTAACATTTCCACAAGTTAATTTCACAAAATTTCTCACATCCTCTTCCCTCCCGGTTATGAAAATAGCATTAATCATTGAAAAACCCAAGGTAGGTGTTGTTTTGCCATCTTTAACAGCTGAAGTAGCAGCTCCCTGATGTAGCCCTGAGCCAAGCTACATTTTTTCACGGATCCGGCTCCTTCTCCTCAGTACGCAGTCAGCACTGCTTCTACTCCAGGAGCTATAAAATAATTTCTGTTCTCCACTTTGCTTTCACTGGGAATATATTCCTCAGCGTTCTGGGTGAGCTTGATTGAAAATGATAAAAACAGTAATGTCTGTGTCCAGCAGAAAAGAGAAAAGATGTCAGGATTATGTGAAAAAGATGAGAAGCAGTTGTACTGACAGCTTTCAGGCTGCCTGTGTGATCCTAATAGCCGTGCAACCAACCAAATTGCTCTTTTAAGAGTAATAAGGCTTCAGTGAAAGCCGGTGTCACTGCCACTTGGGTGTGTAGTGCTGGGCTTGAAAATCACCCAGGAACCGCCACAGATAACGACTGCTTCAGTCCAGCTTCAGAATATTAAGGGCTGAGCAATATACAGTATGCACAGAGGGTAGTTAATCTATTGTGTGGATAGACGAGGATTCAGGCAATGTAGTACTGAGAGACTCAGAACTTGAAATGTGTTTTACTTTTCCTTTACCTCGTGACATTAAAAGGGGATTGCATCTGCACTAACGATTCATAAATGCGTCTGAAATATTTATTAGATGAACAACAATAAGTATATAATTTTTCTCCCTAACAATAAAACAGGAAGGGCAAGTTCTCACTACATAGTTGCAGTTTTCTTCTCTATTAAAGTCAGCTTGTTTTGGCATTCCTGTGGCACCCGAATGAACCCACCACGAATGTTATTAGCAAACTTTTGAAATGCCAACACGGAGTCTATCAAGGCTGGGTTAATCACACATTCAAGAAAACACATTTTTTGTTATTGTGCATCACCATGGAAATACAAAAAGCTCCCAAAGTCTTTCAGTCTTTAGAAACTATATTTGTGCAAACATTGCTGCTAACAAAGTGTGGTTATAATTAACAATCAAGCACATGACTCTGCCCCTGGATGAAAGAGAGGTAGGTGGAGGATGAAGGCATAGCAGATACAAGTAATTTAGTCTCTACTACCTAAAGTGAATTGGCATGATCAAAAAATCCGGCAGATATTTTAAATGTCTACATCTTGGTATTATCCATATGGTCACTTATTCCCTGAATCAGTGAGCCATAATACATGAATTATGCATGTATGTACTTTAATCAATGTTTATATTATTATAACCACTCATGTCCTTGGAAGAGACACTGTAAAAAGAGTAATTTACTTTATAGAGATGAGCGATACATTAAATTTAAAAATACAGTTATGCAAATTTGCTTTTATATAAAGGAAGCGATGTTTGTCAAAGATATCAATGGGACATACAAAACAAACTCAGATTGTGCCTTAATTTAGAAACTATAATCACATAGTATTCAATTTTTAATTTGAAAACTTCTGAGGGAGGTAAGAACAATTTATATCATGCCCATTTTATAAATAGTGAACTTAAAATTCCATGTTTCTGCATGCTTTAAAAGGGGAAGTTTATATTTAACTCAGAATTTAATTTTCTATTTACAAGTCACTTTCATCCTGTTTACCTGATCCCTTCCTCCATATTTAAACTCACATAAACATAAATTAATAGAATAAATTGGTCAACTCCCTCATCACCACCTTCTGAGGAAGACTCTAGAAACAAACTCATTGACTACTTACTGGCTCCATTCCTCTTGAAAGAAAAAATACAACTTTTCATAATTAGTAAGTTTTTTGCTTTTTTTAGATGACTCGGGCCTTAGGTGGAAGAGGAAAATGTCAAATGGCTTTAAATATAATAAAAGGGTATTGGTGGGAATGTTGAATGTTTCTGAAGTGCCTGGCCAGAACAAGCCTAACAAGGAAAGGCTCTTTCCTGAATATGGGATACAGTTGGCCAGGTTCACTGCAAGAATTTTGTTTAGATTTTCAAGTTTTATTTTCTTCCTGGTAACCCCTGGTAAACACTAGGCCATAGATTTCTCTGGTGGGGAAATTGAAATGGAATTAGAAGCATCAAATCACTGTTGCTCATGATGGGAAGGCCGTTCTCTTCCAGGACACATCTGGTTGAAGACTGAAGTTCTGCTCAAGCTTTCTATTACATATCAGAAGAAAGAAGAGGAAACATCTTCCTGTGGAAATGAGTGGGAATACCAAACAGAATGAACAAAAGTGGAATCTGAAGAAAAAGTGAAATACTAAGGAGAGACCATATAAGACACATCCCTGCATAGGTAAGAGTGTAGAAATGCCTTCCCAAGCAAGTTAATATTAGTAATAAATTAACTTACTACAAGTTCTAAGTACTTTTCAGGCATTAACTTATTGAATACTACAACAACTCAATGAAGTTGGAATAATTATTACCTCCATTTGGTACATTATAAGCTGAGGTACGGAGAGTTTAAGTCGTTTATTTAAGGTCACACAGCTATGTTTTGAACTCAAATAGTTCAGTTAGGAGCCTTTGCAAATCACTATGCTATGTCCTCTACTAACTGTTGTCTGTCTCTGTACTCTTAACCCTTCTGAGCTAGGTTGCTCATCAGTAATATATATATATATATATATGAATAACAAATAATGATAGCACACTATATGTGCCAGATTTTTGTTTAAGTCCTTTACATATTTCAGGCATTTTTGTCTTCACAGACTTGTGAGATGAGTCTTTTATTATTTATACTTTATAGATGGTTACTTAGTCAATGTCACATAGTGATTAAATGAAAGAGCCAGGATTTGAACCCTGTATGGCCTCAGATTTTATTATTCACCCTTTGCTTTCCAGAATCTGGTGTGCGGATCTGGGGAAACCAGACAGGTCTCAATGGAGTCTGGAAAGGTAAGAGAGTTGGGGATGAGGGTTGGGGTAATTGTGACTTGGAATCCTCCATTGGTTGTTGGCAGCAGCAGTGAGGTCTATAAATGGAAAGATACCAGAGAAGGTCCACCTGAGAGAGACAGTCAGAATAAGCTTCCTCAGCACTTGCTTGTGCTCAAAGGAAAGTATGAAGAAAGAGAAGACCCCAGCAAGATCTGACTCACAGACATTTGTAATACAACATAATAAATGCTTTAATGAAGGCTATACAAAATTGTTAAGAAGACTGTAGAGAGAATACTACAAAGCAGGTGCATATTAAAGTAATGTGCAGTGAAAAGAAGAGAAAGGGTTGGTTCGGCTAGGATATTCAGGGCAGAGGAGGTGAACTTTACACTTAGTATCAAATCATGAGTATGTATTTTAAGAGTAAGGCAAGTAAGGCAAGAGGCAAGGATAATACAGGCTGAGGAAATAGCATGAGCTTAATTGCAGAGATGCAGGAAGGCCTGCCTCCTTCCATGGACTGCCAGGAAGACAGTGTGAGGTGTTGAGTAGTTAGGTGAGTAGCAGGAGATGAGATAGCAATGGTAGGCAGGGGTTGATTAAAAATTTTTAATATATTAAATGCCAAAGGTCTTAGGCTTTACCCTCAAGGATGGGGGATCAATAAAGGGTTTAAGTCAGGAAAATTACAGGATCCAACGAGAGTTTTCAGAAAAATCTTTGGCTACATTAGATGGGGAGTAAGAATAGAAGCAGGGAAAAAACCACTTTGAAATATAGCAAAATTACAAGCAAGAAAACGTAGGAAGCTAACTAAAACAATGAGAATAAATAGGAAGAGACTAATTTGGACTAAATTTTAATATTTAGTAGCCACATTCATTAATGGGATGAATATTTAATAATCTCATATATTTAAGCAGGAAAAAAGCTAGGGATTTTAAGAATAATTAGACAAAGTCCCTGTCATCAGGATGCCTGTATCCTTAAGAATTTAGTGACAAGACAGATACAAGGAGGAATGGGACATTATTCTAGCATTTAAGCTCTTTTCTTTACATATGTCCTTCAAAGTTTGACTTTGTCCTTCTAATATTTGCTCCAATTTTAGCACCATTAAACAATATTTAGGAATTTTACTAATTGCGCATTCTTATATTCACTTTTATTCTGATGCTATGATTTATTCTATTCTAATTACATTCCCTGACATCTTACTACTTATGCATAATAAATGCCATCTTGGCTTTTATTTATTTTCTTAATAAAAATATCATCATACAAATCTCTGAGACTAGATAATAATGGTGTAACATGAGCTATGCTACCGTATTTTTAATGATTGAACATGTATGAGATAAAACCTCCCTTAATGAGTTTACAACAAAAAAATTACTAAGCTTTTGAAAAGAATTCATTAAATTTTGTATCTATATGTTGGTGGTGTTGTTTTTAGTCTCACTGATTATAATGCCATCTTTACATATGGTTGAAAGTCCCTTTTCTGAAAATTCAGTGACTTTGGTCATTAGATAACTAAATGGCTCTCAATCAGTATCAACTATACCCCCAAGGAGACATTTGTGGTTGTCACAACAAGGTTGAAAGGATACTACTAACATATATAGTGCATATAGGCTAGTGACACTGCTAAACATCCTACAATGCACGAGAAAGTCCTCCCAGCAAAGAATTATCTGACAAAAATGGTTAAGAGTGCCAAGGCTGAAAAACTCTGAAGTATCCTTAGCTTGTCTGATGATGATTCTTTTAGCTATCATTTCACTTAAGTAGAGTGGGAACAAATGTTCTTGACTGAAGCTTACAGGATGACCACCAAACAACTATTCTCAGTACTTTGTGCTAAAATAGCAATTCAAAATATCCTATTTATATTCTTATGCTTCAAAGGAAATAAACTACCTCTCCTACTATAATTCACCCACAGAGAATCACTCATCTTCCTGAACACCTTACATCAAGCCAAAGAAGTGGCAGACTTGTCCAGCTTGAGTGACGGAAGGGGCTCATGATGCATTTGTGCATCAGTAAAAATCTTTCTTGTTCAGAAAATTCTAAGTGTCCCTTCATTACACACACACACACACACAAAATAAATAAGAAAGAGAGAAAATCATCAGAACAGATTTAGCTGTGTGACTTTCCAGTTACTTTTGTTTTTTTATTAATGTGGCAGTTGTTAGTCTCTACAAACTACAGGCTGTACTAGTGTTAATATATTGTATTATATACTCCATCAACAATCAATGAGAATAAAATATTAGCTGGGATATAAGCAAAGAAAGAGTGGTAAGTTAGCTATAGCATTGGCTTGATAATTCTTGAAAGGCCACAGATCAATTCACTAATATATACTTACATGCATACATATATACATAGTTTCATTACTTACTCCCTAACTCTTCAACATTCTATTTACTTACTACCTATTACTTACTCCCTAACTCTTCAACATTCTATTACTTACTACCTATTAGTTACTCCCTAACTCTTCAACATTCTATTTTGACTATGTAAGCCAAAATATAGATCTCAATATTTCAATATCATATTAAAAACACACTGTAATTCTTTGTTTTTACTATGTTTTCCTTAAACAGAAACAAGAAAACAAGGAAGTATTGTATACATACTTTCTAGCCCAGTGTACTGTAAATACAAATCATTCCATAGGCTGAATAAGAGAAATATCACTTGGGTTTTGCCCAAGTTAAGGTAAAATCATATATATGTATTGTTTTGGAAATACATATATAATTATATAAATAGTTTTATTTCCAAGGTCAAGATGTACCAGGTCAATTGTATAATGTATAAATATTTCAGTTACAATATGATTGAGAAATTAACTCTGGTTAAATGAAATGTCTACTTAACTGAAAGAAAAAAAATCATTTGCTTTCACTTCTATTGAGAAATATTTTAAAAGATTAACATTTTTTTTCTTTGCCAGTGATTTCTACAGAGTTAAAATGTCTGAATCCTTCTAATAATTTAGGACCCTGCAGCAACTTGGTATCTAGGGCTGCACATCAGTTCTCATCCTATTATCCTGCACTTACAGGAAACAAGAAGTAAGGGCTGAATCTGTAAAGAGATCAGGGCAAGCTGAATTAGGTGAACTTTCAAATGAGCTTCTAATATTGCATTTTATTTTTGTCAATGTTCCATTTTAAATAAAAAAAAATCAAGTGTAGGCTTATATGTCTTATTTGAGGGTCCTAGTTAATTGTGGTTTTACTTTATAATATTCTTCTAAATGCTTTAACTAAGATAGGCAACTTAATATTTTGCTCCATATAAACTTGTTTTGAAAAGTGGTTCAAAATGTTAGTGGGTCCATTAGAATCACCTGGGAAAATTTGTTAAGTTACCACTCTCTGGTTTTGATTTAACAAGACTTGTATAGGGCCTGGGTACATGTATTTTGAAAAAACAAAAAACCTGCTCCGGGTAAATCTGAAATGTACTTTTACTCCAGTTTTCATCAACTATCTTAGAAGAAAAGGATTTAGCATTCAGTGTTGATATATAGCACCTAGTCCATTATCTTTAGGATATATATATATAGAGAAAAATTAGAGTGAAGTTTAAATGAATTTAATATAATATATTTGGGGAATTGATGTGAGAAATTAAATTAATTTCAGGCCTATGTTAAGACATAGTTAACCTAAGTTGCAAATAATTACCTGATTTCTCTGTAAAGAATGAAGATTATGGGTCCTGGAAAGATGTCCTTTTATAGAGAATGCATCTTGGAATCTGGTCAAACATGCCTGAAACTATAAAATATACTTTTTCTTCATCTTAGATATTTTTTCAGGCTTATGTAAAGTTCATTTAAAGGACAGTGCTAGAAAGCTCAACACGATCTATTGGCTATGCTGCATCAATTACATAAAATGTTTCATATCTATAGGAGACATCGATAGTATGTTTACTAAAAATAGTATTTCTTTTTTTATAACAAATTTATTCAAGTATAGGATATATTTTTTTTGTAAAGATATAAAATCACAAAGATATAAAAGCTACATAGTCTTTCTAGCCAAATATTATAGTCACTAAATCATAGTGTTGCAGAATCCCATGAGGATGTATGTAGACTATGTAAAGTCATGCATCATTTAACAACAGGCATAAGTTTTGAGCAATGCATCATTAGGTAATTTTGTCCTTGTGAGAACAACATAGACTGTGCTTACACAAACCTAGATGGTGTAGCCTTCTATACACCGGGGCTATATGGTATAGTCTATCACTCTTAGGCTACAAACCTGTACAATATTTTACCATACTGAATGCTTTGGGCAGTTGTAACACACTGGTAAGTATTTGTATGTCTGAACATATCTAAACGTAGAAAAAGTACAGCAAAAATATGGTATTATAATATGGGGCCAACATTGTGTATTTGATCTGTAGTTGATCAAAATGTCATTAAAAGTACATGACTGTATTAATATATATGGTTGAATCTTCTAATGGTTCTCTCCTGAGTGCCCTTGAGACCTCTGGGGAACTGTATGTTGGTTCCATTTCTAGTTAAATGGTAGCTATCCCAAGAATAAGTGTCTCTATATCATGGAAATGAAAGATGCCAGATACAACTGTTGCACAGCTAACATTGCTATTTTGAAAAAAGCAAATAACAGTTTTAGATCACTTTATAATCTGGAGAATAGTGTAACTTTTAAACAAATTAAAAGTACTATTAAAAAATGTAAAACAGTATATTTGCAATGTATTTAACTATATTTTATGTCTAATTTATATTATCATTTAGGAATTGCTGTAGGAATAGCTATAGGCCTATAATATAGCTATGTATCAGTATACAGTTAAGTTGTAACACAGACAAAAGATAATACTAGAATTAAAAAAAATTATTTTTCTTTCATGAAAAAGTCTGGATACAAGTAGTCAAATTTTGTTTCACAAAGTTCTGAGAAATTTGGACTCTATCTTGTTTCTTTATCAGTGATGGTCTCCATTGACAAGATAACCCAGGATCCAAGAGATTCTCTTCAGACACAGACATTATGTCAGCAGGAAGGGGGAGAAAGTAAAGAAAAAGCAACTATCTAACAAAAATATTTAGGAAAATTGCCACACCTCACTTCTACTTATGAACCATTGGCCAACTTTTTGTTACGTGGCCAAATCTCACTACAATGGAAGCAGTGACCGGCTGAAATTATGGATTTCCATTCAGTTGAGAAAAAAAGAGAATAGGGTTTGGGAGAAAACTAGCAGTCTCTGACATAGAAGATCATGATAGATGGATGGATGATCAATCTTCAAAAACAACTTTAGTAACTTTTATCTGCTAACACAGCAACACTTACTACATCAGGGACTTAAAAGTATCAAATGTAATGAAATCAAGTACATATAAAACCATCTTATTTCATAGGCTAATAGAATCTCAGAGTCAGATCAGGCTAAAAGGAAATCTAATAAGAAATCTACTTCACATTTCACTTAGTTTACAAAGCACAAAGTGCAAACATTCCTCACCAGTGGTATCCTAGCTTCTGTTTAAATACATCAAGTCACATAGTTCTGATTTTCTTTTAGAAAGACCATTCTTGCATTGCTCTCAAATGCTTTACATATTCTTAATTTTTGTCATTTATTATAGTCCTGCCCTTTAAGATGATGCTGAACAAATATTTTCTTTCTTCATGAAGACAATTCTGCAAATACTAGGAAATAGCTGCCTTCTCCCCTTTAGTCTGACCCCTAAAATCACCTTGAGGGCAAATAATCTGCTTTCCTTGAACAGAAGTTTCAGATTCATTATCATCTAAGTAATCTCCTTCCTTTGTATTTCTGGATGCTATTAAGCTTATTAAAGTCAATCTTTACATCTCCTACAACAATATTTATTCATCCTAAAGCACAAAACTTTCTTCATTTCTTCTTTCTTCCTAATTCATGCTGAACCAAACATAACAGAAATCATCTGGCAGCTGTTCATAACACCCTCCCCTTTATTATCTCCACCCACCTCCTTCCCATTGCTTAGATAAAGAGTATGTCCTATGACAAAAGCATGACTCACAATTACTTGTACAGTTCATTTGTCCTGTGTCGGCTAGCATTAAGTCTAATGATTTTGACAAGAAAAGAGTCACCTGGCTTCATTTCCTTTTCTTCTGAATGTCAATTTAACATGACCATGGGGACTATTCATTAGCCTCTGAAACTTCCAGGAAGAGGCAATTTCTTTGCTTTTAATTTAAATCATTTAAGCTACTTTTAAACAATCTGAAAATAATATTTTAAATAATTATGCCTAATAGTACAATTTATACACACACATTGATGTATTTATATATATGTGCATACGTGCATATATAAGCACTAATTTCTAAGTAGGAGAATTTGTTAATTAATCACCCTTAACAGCCAAATAGCTTCCCATTAGTCAAGCCTCGGGTTAATTAATTCACTAGACGATGAGTGATATAAGTCTTAGTGCTTTCTTCCTATCTACTTACTATTCCATCCAGAAGACATGCTCAATATATCTCTCACTGAGCAGCCTGGTTTGTGCTTCTGTGGATGCTGAATTTCAGCACTAGATCTGATAACTATTTTCTCAGAATGAAAAATATTGAATGTAATTTTTCTTTGACACAGACCTATTTAAAGTTGGTAAGAATAGTGGATACCATTTAGGGCTAAAAACATGAACTATTTCAGGAGCAGCCACAGCCTGCCATTGAGGGCAAAGTAGTTTTCTTACAAATAATGGCAACCAAACACTGTAGGAAGAACAGTCCTTATCACTGTGAGTGTGACATTCCAATTGAATCTACCTGATGAAGTGAATCACTGAAATGTTTCTTTAAGGTAATTTGCAGAATGCAAACATCTGACCTTGTGTCAATAGCTCCATCTGTGCCTTTGGCCGAGTGTCATTTAGCAACTCACTCCCAACTGCTTAAGGTGGATGTGGCAAAGACAGACATTAAGACTTCAGGCACAGACTCCCAAATCAAGCTGACACAAGACTTCATATGTCCAACTGCTTGTTCAACAACTACACTTGAATGTAATGGCAGTGAGGAAGAATGCTGAGATGGCTCCCATGATCTTCATTCACTTTTCCAGCCTCTACCAACCTCAATGTTACTTCTGTGATTATGTTGTCTTTTGTTACAAAGGAAGAGTATCTGAGTGATCTCAGTGAGACTAATCTAATCACTGTAGATCTTTATAAGCAGAGAGCTTTCTTTCTCACACTGGCAGCAAGAGACAAAGACAGGGAAGTCAAAGAGATTTGAAGCAAGAGAAGGATTTGGTGGAACATTAGTCTCTGAAGATAGAAGGACCACGAAAAATGACCAGAAAGTGACGCCTCTGTTAAACCAGAAAGAACCCTCAGGCTACAAACACACGGAACTAAATTTTGCCAACAACACGAATAAACCTGGAAATGAATTCGTACTGAGAGCCTGTGGATAAGAGCCCATTTCAGGCGAGGCCTTGATTTTTGGCATTATAAAAGCTGTAAGCTGAAACCCCAGCCAAGCCCACCTGGACTTCTGACCTAGGGAGCTGTTAGCTAAGAATTGGGAGTTATTTTAAATTGCTCATCAGGGAAAGAATTGGGAGTTATTTAAATTGCTCATCAGGGAAATGCATATCAAACCCGCAATGAGATAACAACTTATCTCCAATGGGAATGGCTTTTATCAGAAAGTCCTAAAACAATAAATGTTGGCTTGGATGCGGAGAGACAGGAACACTCATATACTGCTGATGGGACTGCAAACTAGTACAATTTCTGTGGAAAGCAATATGGAGATACCTTAGAGAGACACAAGTAGAATTACCATTAGATACAGCAATCCCATTACTGGACATCTACCCAAAAGAACAAAAGAAATTCTATAAAAAAGACATCTGTACTAGAATGTTTACAGGAGCACAATTCACAATTGCAACGATGTGGAAACAACCCAAGTGCCCATCAATACATGAGTGGATTAATAAAATGTGGTATATGCATACCATGGAGTTCTACTCAAGTAGAAAAAACAATGGTGAACTAGCACCTCTTGTATTATCCTGGATAGAGCTGGGGCCCATTCTACTAAGTGAAGTATCACAAGAATTGAAAAACAAGCACCGCATGTCCTCACCATCAAATTGGTGTTAACTGACTTAACTGACCGACACTTAAGCACACATATATAATAATAACATTCATCAGGTGTCCAGCAGGTGGGAGGGAGTGGACAGGATGGCTATATTCACACCTAATGGGTGCAGTGTGAACTGTCTGGGTAATGGACATTCTTGAAGCTCTGAATTGGGTGGGGCAAAGGCAATATATATATAACCTAAGCATTTTTACCCCCATAATGTGCTGAAATAAAAAAAATAAAAATTAAAAAAATAAAGTAAACTGCTAAATTTGTGGTAGTTATGTAGCAACCGACAATTTATACAGATGTCAAATAAATATCTCCAACTCAACCTGTCAAATAAACAACCTCTGTCCTTTCCTCCCAGTTATGTTTCTGCAACCTTCTCCTTGTATTGAATGAAAATTTCACTTTGCCAGTTGTTCCAGCCAAAACAAAAAACAATAAACCCTGGAGTCATTCTTGCATCTTCACTTTCTTTCCAATCTATATACACAAAAAATTCATCTCAAAATCTTGTTGGCTCTACTTCTATGAAATATCCAGAATCTAAGCAGTTTTCACTTCTTCCACTGCTCCTACCCATGTCTGAGCCACTTAACATCTCTCACTTTTAACTTGAGAGTCAACTAACAGGTCTTCCTACTTCAATCCTATCTCACTCCATCCTACATATTTTGTTGATATAAGTAGACAGAATAATCTTTTAAAAACATAAGCCATGTCATATCTTTTCTCAAATTCTGCATTATCTTCCCATTTAACTCAGAATAAAAGTTTCTAGGCAATGGCTTGGAAGATCTTTTGTAATCTGTTCCTCCTCCATTCAATTTGACCTCATCTTTCCTATTCTCCCCTTCACTCACTCTGCACCAGCCATACTGGCTTCCTTAACGTTGAAAGAACCCAGACACTTTTGCCTCAGAGTATTTATTCTAATGGCCTCTTTAACTCTACCTTCAGCTTCATCAAATTCCTGACTTGTTTCAGGCTTTTCTCAGACTTTATCTTTTCAATGACCACATAGGGTGGTCAGGGTTGGTTTCTCTATCCTCACTCCTGGCCATCCAGATCCCACCTATCCTGCTCTGATTTCTTTGGTCATTTTTCCATGGCATTTGTTAATTTTTAACATGCCATGTATTTTGCTTCCTTATTGTGTTTTGTATTTATTTCCCATCTCTCTACAAATAGAGTGTAAGCTCCTTAAGGGCAGGAATTTTTGTTAGTTTTATTCATGTATATCTATGCCTAAAGTATCTGAATAATTACCTAGCAAACAGTAGGAGCTCAGTAAATATTTGTTAAATGGATGAAGTGTAGGCACTTATGGACACTCATTAAAGGGGAATGTTCTCACAGATTTGAGGTGCTAGGTTACCCCTGACAGAGGCAGCAAAGGGGATACTGCCAAAGGTGGTGAAACTAGACTTACCTTGGACACATTAACCATAAACCTTGTTTAAGACCAACAACAACAATAAGCTTGATACTGCATCTCTCTGTGGGAATTTGCAATGTAGACATAGAAAGAATATGGAATCTTGGTGCTACTACTTATCAACAGTGGGATCTCAGTTAAGTTATTAATATTTAATCCTTCTGTGTCTCAGATTTCTCATTTTAAAAATGGAGATAACAATATATATTCCATAGGGTTGTTTTGAAGATTAAATGAGATAACAGATTAAGAGTGTCTGGCGGAGAGTATGCACTTTCAGAAGATTAGCCTCCCACCCCTCTGAGCATTCTTTGACTTCAGTTTGTTGAACAAGTGCCAGGAAATTTAATCCATTTTGGTGATACCCTCTGAGAAGGGGCATTCCTATTATATATTTGAAGAACTTTTTTCAAATGCTCTTCCTCACCTTGATTACAAAATGGGGCTGAGAATGAGGTTCCTAGAGACAAAATTTAGGTACATTACCTCTAATATCACTCTCTTAATTTGGAAGCTCGAGCTTCCTGGTCTATACTGGCTCCAAATTCATACAACATACCTCACTCACTTTGATCTCCATTGTCTTCTCTTCCTCTCTATTTTTCTTTCCTCTTTGTTCCTTCCCCACCTTTGTTCAATCCAATACAACTCATCTCTCTAACTCCTGCAGAAGTTAACACAGGTCTTTGCACAGAGTTTCTAATATTTTGCAAAACAATTAAATAACTTAGAAAGTGACCCAAGTTTATTGTTTTTCTCCATGATGGCATGTATCATGTTACTTCAAAGCTCTTATTCCTGTGTTTCAAGGTTTGAAGTAATGAATATTTTCCTAGGGAACCCTAATTCCAGTCCCTGATATCATCCATTCGGGCTCAGCACTTTCTGTACATCTTAAATAATGCCTACTCTATGTGAATAACATTAGCCAATCCGTGTGTCCATCCCTGCCCCTTGTGCCTGCTCTTCTTTCATGATCATTATCCTTTTAAAAAATGCATGTTACAGCCCTCAGAAAGAAACTAGAGCACTAGATTGAAACAGTTTCTCTTCAAAACACACTTCTTCATTTGCTTATGTTTTTCTCAAAAGTTTCCTTTGGGAATTAAATATTTTTAATGTTTGTTTCAAGTGCTTTTTTTTTTTTTAAGGAAAGAAGCTTTCTTCCTTCCAAAGTACTTTGATCTTATTTTTTTTTCTTTAATACAATTCCTAAAGCCAAAGCTATAAATATCATTTTCCTCCTTGGAAATAGATAATTAGGCACCATTTTTAAATGAGATTTTAAAAGGAGATACTTAAGCTCAAGTATGCAATAAATGACATACTGTGAAACATGGGTATACTTCTAGGCACGGGCAACTCTGCTAAGCATAATTATACAATGAGGAATTTCTCCATGATAACAATTAAAATTCGAGTGGTCTAATAATACCATGCTCCTGGTTTACTCAGAGGTGGTCAAGGAGATGGCATCTCCCAGTGCAAGCATGACATGGCAATGGGAGATATTTCTAAAAAAGAGAAATTAAGGTGGGCAGACTTTTGAAGTAGGTTCATTAACCCCTCATTTTACAAATGATAAAAATCCAGTTTCAGAGAGGCAAAATGACTTGCTCTCAGCAAGCATGTGGTTGTTTGCAGCTTAATTTCCTTATCTGTAAAAAGAGATCTGTCTTTGTTTCTCTGTAGCATTAGGAAACATAGATTCTTGAATCTAAAACCAGCCCATATAACATCCCACGTACTCAGCATGTTAGACAATTGCCTCTGAACTAACTGAAGGGTGGGAGGGGATGTGCCACTGAATGATTCATTCTGGTGTCTCACATTCTGCTACAGAAGACATATCCCTTAATGCCTTACATCTCCTCACCCTCCTCCTTTTTATGAATCAGATATGATGTAAATACGTAAAGATAATATGCCCATTGTGATTTTAGAGACATGTAGTTAATTAATGAAAGATATTAATGTAACTTTAGTATGTAAAGTTGCTTTATAACCCCTTTATTCCTGTAACTCTGTTTCCACCAAGCTACCCACCCACCTACTTTTAAGATACTGAATCTGTAAAGTCATTTCCAAACATGTACCCAAATATTCTGAAGGTTGGGCACTGACTCCATATGTAATTCTCCAACAGATGGCCCTCTTCCAGCATTAACAGGTCACAGTCCCATAGTTACATAAGAAATACTTAGGAAATGCTGGATACTCTAATAATCCAGTTTAGGCCTTCAGGCAGGACAGAAAGGTATATAGTGAAATATTAGAAGTGTTTTAACAGACATATAAATAAAATGTCATCAGAGAAAGAGGAAGTTGAGATTAATCCTTATTGCAGGAGGTAAGGGGAAACCAAAAGTCTTTAACCAAGGAAGTGATACTGAAACAGGACTCTGGGGATAAGTATGATTCTAATCTGTAATAATGGAGAAAAGCTAGAAGAAATTATCTGAGCAAAGCCACAGAGATGTTCTATGCATTTCCTGTGGCTTTTATAACAAATGACTACAAACTTGTTAGCCTAAAACATCAGAAATTATCTCCCAGATCTAAGCCAGAAACTGAAATCCAGGTGCCAGCAGAGAATGGCCACATTCCCTCTGGAAGTTTCAGGGAAGAATCCTTCCTTGCCTCTGGCTGTTTCCGGTGGTTGTTGGTATTTCTTGGCTCCCTTGGCTTATGGCTACATCACTCCAATCTCTGCTTCAGTGGTCACAGTGTTTTTTCCTCTGAGTGTTCTCCTCAGTATGCCACTTATAAGGACATTTGTCTTTGGATTTAGTATGTCCCTGGGTAATCCAGAGTGATTTTAACATAATTACCCTTTTCCCAAATAAGGTGCGATTCACAGGTGTTAGAAATTTGAGGTGAATATTTGGGGGAGGGGAGTTGGCCTACCACAGATGGGAATGTGCTTTATGAATGATGGCATGGCTGTGTACACGTAGTTCAAGGCCAGTAAGGTCAAGACATTCTTTGAAAGACTTTTGGAGTCCAATATTACACTAGCATCCCCTACCTTCATCCTGTTTTAAAAACTACTAACTGTTAAGCTAAAGAAGTATGACTATTGTATAATCTAAATTCTTGATTTTTTTAAATAAGGTAATAGGCCCAGAAAGGTTAGATAATTGGCTAAA